TTTTTCTTTATTTTAATTTTATTTTAATTTTATTTTTATATTTTTATTTCTATTTTACTTTTAGTTTATTAATTAGCTTCTGTCACTGACTGCTGTTGCTCCTCTTGACCCTGTGCTTGCTTGTTTTCAGCAGCAATGAAATGCTGATCTACCAAATGTCAGCAGGCAGGGCACTGCTCTCAACAACACAGCAGGGAGATCGTTCATTTACCTGGCAAAATTAATAGCCAGCAGCGGGTCATGGACATCATCCAGCTCCAAGTGTCTTTCTGCTATAGACTGCATCTTTATCAGGCTCTGCTTTGTGGCCTGCTGCTCTGTAATAATATCTGGAACAGACTCTTCCCCGTGCCGCAGGCGGGACTGCACCGATTCCAAGAACAGTGTATACAAACTCTTCCGTTCGGCATCTAAATTGGGCAACGTGTTCCACAGTAAGATTTTGTTCCAAGAGAAAGCACCATCTGAACTAAAAGAACTCCACAGTCCGACAATTACTTTTAAACTTTTAACACACCAAATTTAAGGCACAATTCAGGGAAAAAAAACAAACTCAAATACCTATTTAAATAAGTATTGCTAAAACAGCAGATCAGTCTAATGCCTAAGGTCAGGCATGGGTTCAAACAGATTGCTGAATGAGTGTCTGAAATATGAAATATTTCAGAGACTGTGAAAAACTTCCTTTTTCAGGTGCAAAAGCAATTAATTTTTAGCACCTGAAACAAACCTTCAATATTCACTGGACTAGATTATATTCTCACACCAAAGGGGAAAAATGAACCTAGAGAGCTTCCAAAACAACTCTCTCTACCTCTAAACACCCAGAAACAGCAAAACAAAAATGCACTTCACCTCATAGAAAAAATCAAAACAAAAAACCCAAAATCAACATGTTACACTGCTGAACAATAGTTTACAATCATTGAAGATAAATATCCTACATATCCAAATATCTTTCATCTAATTAGTTAGCTTTCTTCCTAAACAGTGTTCCACATGCTATCTCAGCATTATTCAACCACTTAGTAAAGCAAATCAATTACTTATTAAAACAAGAGTTTTACTATTAGAAGATACAAGCCGTTTTCACTTGTTCCATAAAAAACAAGTTTTGCAAGCACAAGAAAACAAGTTTAAGAAAAAATTAAAGCAGTACAAAGCAAAGGGAACACTTAATTTTTATTGTATTTGCTCTTTTCTCCTGTTTGCATTGGAAGACTGCTTCCAATCTGATATGAAGGCATCAACTATGACACCAACATTCAACACGGAGCGTGATATTATTCTAAAACCACGGAAACACCACTCCAAAACACACCCCCATACTGCCAGATCCCCTAAGGCAGGGCAGTCCACAAACTGACACCTCACCTCTCGATGCGACCTGCTGCGGAGAGCCGTCTCTGCACTGCAGGTTCTTCAGCAGCTGCATGGACTTCCCAGCCATGATGATTTGCTTCAGCACAGGTTTCAGAAAAGAGACCATCGTGTGCTGCCTGCTCGATGGCGCCTGATCGCTGCCAGAGCTGGCACTGGCATTATCACTCATCTTCTCTTCATTCTCCGTCTTCTCCGACACGCTGTATAATGTGTAGGTAGCATACCAAAAATCTCTGTGGTTAACTGGAACGTTTTTGTTTCTGGGAAGAAATAAATAGCTGTTGAGTATTTTCCTCACAAAAGATGAAACTTCGCTACTAGAAGATGCGTATAACCTTTGCTCTACCTTGCCTTTCTCTCAGAACAGCCAAAAAAAGCTTCCAGAACTATATAAAACAAGCTCATTCGTATTACAAACTAGCTAGGCACCTCTAGAAAGGATGACAGCTTTAGCAGGACAAAGAAACAGCTCACAGGAGATAAAAACAATCATATAACCAAATAAACCCTCCAAATAAGGCAAATAAGAATAATTATAATTAAATTTGTCCAGGAACTTAACTGTTCACAAGGGAATGCATCCTTAACAACAAAAATGATTAATGACTGGCTTGCATATTTATTTAAAATCCATAACAAAGCAACTGGGGAAGGCAAAACTTTCTAGAGTAGATGAAACTCAATTCTTAGTTCACTTTGCTTTTTTTGAGTTGTCTACATCAGACACACAGCTTGGTCTTTGAAGTCGGATGGAAAACAACCTAAATTAGATAATTAAAATGAAGCACAGGTATAAATAAAAGTTGAAATCACCCGTCTTGGTGATTTCAGCTATAGAACCACAGAAAGAAAAGCTCAGTAGGACATAATAAGGATGTTAAAAGATCTTAGCTGCTACGGATTTATCACAATAGCACTAGAGCTGTTCTCTTACTTCATGCTCACCTTGACCTGCTTTAACAGACAGAGGTTCAATTAAGCTTGGCAGATAGGTGGAAATGAATTTGCAATTATGAGCCAAAATTCTGTTATATTCACTTTCCACTGCAAGCTGTCAAAAAAGGAACCAGCAAAATATAGCATGCCAACAGAGGAATTAACTGCTCAAAAAATGTTTAGGACATGTGTACGTAATCAAGACACGGTATTAATCTGTACTACAAGTTAGAAGCAACAAGTGTTTTAATTCTAAATAGCATTTGAATTATCACAATTATACATTAGTATTAGCATTAAAAAATTAATTTTGTAGTTTTTTCAAATGCCTTTGTTTTCAAAGTCTACACACTCAGAGTCAAGACTGCTGATTATTTATCATAAGTAGCAAAAATTAAAACTATTTGTATTCCAGAACAATACCTGGTAGGTCTTCATATCTAATGTAATTTCCCTAATGGGAAGTCTGAGACAAGTTAGGTAAGCATGATTAAGAAATTAATTCTACTGAAGTAAAACACTAAACATAAAAACCTACTTTTATTGTCACCTTTTACTTTCCAAGTTCTATGGCAGGTTTTGTGTTCACACCTGCCCAACATTATGTGTGCCTTGTGCCAGCACCCCTACCTCTGAATGATAAATTCTTTTGCAGGATCAAACAAATTACCATGGACTATCCACTCATCCACTGTCTGTAAGTATGGCCTCACAGTTTCAACCCAGAGAGAGAACAGAAGGGAGACCTGAATTTAAAGAAGGGGAAAAAATTAAAATGAAAAAAAAATAATACTGGAAAGTTTTTATACTAAGCATTAGAACCAATACAGCAAAGCTGCACCTCTTAATTGTGCAATTGTAGTCTACAAGATATACGTAACCTGAGGGTTTCAAAAGATAAAATGTTACACTAAAAATCAGAGCTTTGGTAGCTTTACTGGAAACCTGCACTGCACATGCCTCCCCTTGTTACTTCTGTCATGATAGCTAGACCCAAACAGCAGCTTTCATTTTTTTTCACTCTAACATCTAACATTAGGGGGCCGGTTAGCTCAGTGGTTTGAGCACAGTGCTGACAACAATGACCAACAGCGAGGTCGTGGGTTCGATTCCCGCTCGGTCCCCATGTGTTGCCTGATCTAGTTGAGAGGCGTCCCTGCCCATGACAGGGAGGTTGGACTAAATGATCTCTAAGGTCCCTTCCAGCCTAGGTCATTCTATGATTCTGTGATCTCTTAAACAGCAAGGGATAGCCATAAAACCATCTGTGGTTCTCTAACGTACAAAACAGGAAAACAAAAGGACATACTGACAGCTACTGTATTTTCAGTAGTGCAGTCAACAATCTACTGTAAAAACTCAAACTGTTGCATTTCAGCATTACCGGAATTATGCAAATGTAGAAATAGAAGGAGGGAAAACTATTCCAAAGCTCCCTCTTCCATAACAGCTTCTTGGCCTCTGATTCCCCGCAATTCCTCCCCTCCGACCTAAAAACACACAGCTACTGATCTCCTCATAAATCTGATTTTGTCCATGTTAGTGAACTCATTTCAGACAACAGGAATGCATTAGGGCGTTCAAATATGTCCTCAGTCCTTCACACCTGAGGGCTACTGTTCCCTGCCACCATAAAGAAATTTGTATCACTAAAGTTTCTGGTGTGTCATTCTGTTAAGGAAGGAAAGATCCCCTCTACCGTTTGCTCGGATGCTTCGCCAACACTGTCGTATTCGAGAATCGCTTTGTAGAGAGTATTAAGCAGGTGAGATGCTCGTACAACATTTCTCGTGTCAGGTGGCACTTCCGCTACTCCTGTGCTGAAAACTTTGTGAAGCACCTTCAGCTGTGCCAGTCTGGGAGACAATTCATCCATTACTATTGAAAGTGTAACTGTTTTATCTGGGGAAAAAAAAATAAAAAACAAACTCAAAGATGTGTAAAGGTAACATCCAAAAGAAAATAAAACTTTAACCAGTGTTATTAATGAGGTTTTAAAATGCAGCATGGCAACTTTCACAGTTTCAAAATGTATCTGCATAATTTTTTTCATGTTTCCCTCTTATAAAAAATACCTTGCACCCCTCCCTCTTGTTAAATTTCCTTTGCACTATACCTTTGTTAATTACGCATTTTTCAATTTCGGTAAGTTCTTCTTTAAAGCTAATGAAATATTTGTACAAGGCCCACATAAAAGCTTGGTAGGTTCTGAATGGGGCTTCGGTCGTTTTCTTTGGAGTGGCAACTGTTCCGTGCATTATACTTTCCGGGCTGTGTCCCATCACTTCATCAATAAACTTCTGCAGTCTAAAAACAACTTGGCCATATGCTGCTATCTGCTCCAACACAGATCTCAAGCAATTCTAGATTAAAAAAAAAAAAAAATTTAAAAACTTACATTTTTTAGAAACACCTAATAAAAATTTTTATTTTACAAATTCATATTTCTATGAATTAAAATATAATAAAATCCTGCCATCTCTGTCACTTCATCACATTCTCATATATGGGAACAGCCTATTCAGTTTTGTTAAGTCAGATGTGTTCTGACAAAATTAAGAACAATTGTGAAAATGTGATTTTGCCACTAGCAGTTTGATTTCCTATTCCCTAAAATTACATCTTCCTAACGACAGATACATTCAGCTAAGACGCAGGAACAACTTACATGGGTTAAATGAGTTAAAATAATATCATTCCGCACAGCCACTTTTCCATCATTCAGCTGAAATATAAAAAGCTTTTTCACTCCTGAAAGTAGCCTTGAAAAGAAACAAAGAGAGCAGTCATTTTTCATAATTATATAATTAATAAAAGAATTAGCTCTCCCTTGTCTAAAAGCTTCTTTTCTTCAAATAAAAGGGACCAGGGATCAACTACGGTGCTATTGGTACTGTAAGTTATCACTAGAACAATAAAACACTGGTATCATGTAAATAGTATCTGCTGAAGTTCTTTTCCAGTTCAGGTAATTTCCAGCTGAAGGATCATTCAAACCTCCTTTCTAAAACTGGACACTGCATTAAAAATCCATAGGGGCAGTATAAGAACTTGGTTCTTCTTAACAGCTCAACTTGAAAAATCGATGTACACAAGTAGAAGTAAGCTACTTTCCTCTTTGTGAGTCTGAATGGCTAACAAACATAAGCAGCTTTTTGATCATCAGGCTAAAGGCTCCGTCTTCTGACACGACTTCAAGGATAAATGTCTCATTTCCTTGAGTGAAATACTAAAAGTTAAAATGCAAGCTTTTTGGTGTTGCTCTTACCAAAGAGTTTCCCGTATAACCTGAGTTTCAGTGACCAGGGTTCTCTCCTCTGGCACATATAAAGGATCACTGGTGTACAAGTGGTGGTCCCTTCAAAAAAAGGCAACAGAAACAATTTAAGGAATGAAATAACAGCGGAATCAGCTGAAACGACAAATGAAGCAATAATCCTAAGGCTCAGCTTTGTTCTAATTAGAACTGTGGAGGTTCAGTGATCATGGGAACATTTTAAGCATAAAAAGGCAGATTTGTTTTCATCTTGTTAAGCAAAATACTATGGAAAGCATTCAAATATCATCTAGTCATACACAGCACAGCAAGCAATTAAGTAGCAAATACCTAAAGTACTGACTGGGTTATTTTGGAATTTTGGGGGATGTTTTTGGTTTGTTTGGTCGACTTGTTTCTTTTTGGTTTTGTTTTTTTAAGTTCTTGATCCTTGATTCTTTTCTTACTTCACATTCAATGATGTGAAAATTTATAGTTACTTTCTGTTAAAAACACTAAAGCTAAAAACTAAAATACTAATTTCCCTGACCTGCACATGAAAAGTCACACTTTGGCCCAAAAGTTTACTTAAGAAATGGAAACTTTCAAGCTACCCAAGAACTTCCCCTAGTGATCCTGTTTGTAAGGCTTCCACAGTATTTTTAACATTTTAGCAAAATATAGAATGATTACTCACATTTGTAGTATTTTGACTCATTAATATAATTGGTGGCAAAATTTATGAAATCACATTCAAAATAAAAAAAATCCAAATTAAGTACTACTGGTTCTAGAGCACACATACATATAAAAACTGCTAACAAAACTGCAGCAGGAGCAAGTGGCAAAATTTATGTAATCACGTTCAAAATCAAAAAAATCCAAATTAAGTAATACTGGTTCTAGAGCACACATACATGTAAAAACTGCTAACAAAACTGCAGCAGGAGCAATATTGCTTATGTTACCAGTTTCCTAATATTCACTGTATATTTTCTTTCCTAACTGGCTAGATAAATTTATTACTTATGTTACTGGTTTCCTAATATTCACTGTAAATTTTCTTTCCTAACTGGCTAGATAAATTTATTTTAGTGTGAGCTGAGAATAAGAAATTCATCAAATTAAGGAATCAAAGAAAAATCTAATGATCTGTATTACTGCAGTGCTGATACATAGGAATTTGGGACAGAAGGAAGAATCAGGTGTGGGGTTTTTTTTAAATTGAACTTTCCTCTCATTTTCTTTTCAAAACCCCAGCAGATCACTGATTATATACAGCTTTATGTTCCTTCCACACACAAAATCTGTGTTTAAGACTAACTTTGTAAGGTAGACACTAAAACTAAACAAAAAAAAGCTTTAGGGAACTCATGGCTTCCAGGATCACTTACAACTCGCCTGCATACAAAACCTGTGTTTAAGACTAACTTTGTAAGGGAGGCACTAAAACTAGACAAAAAAAAGCTTTAGGGAACTCGTGGCTTCCAGGATCACTTACAACTCGCCTGCATTAGATCCTCAGAGAACTTTGTAAGGGTCAACCCAAACAAAATTCAACAGTAAGATTTGCTGCTTTGAAAAAGGAAAACCCTCCCTCTGATATGATAAACAGAATAAAAACTAAATAAAAGGAAAGAATCTATCAACAGAAAAACCAGCTCATTCGTTCATCTTAACTCATATCCTTTTAACTCTGTTTTTAACTAAATCAGTAATGACTACACTATCGCTACGTCTCCACAGCAAAGCTGCTTAATAAAGCTGTTCTTTAGCATTACACATCAATAAGGAACACGTAAGTGATACTGCTTTCTTACCAGACCGCAGCTAGGTTGGCGTGCAAGTGCAAACTATGTGAAAAGCGAGGAGCTCTCCCTGTCCAGTACTGAGGAACTACGTGCTGCTCCAGCCAGCTGCGGGCATCAGGTTCACCAACTGTGAAAACACGTGCCAGTCGGTGAGGTACTTTTAATTATTCAGGAAAAGCTTATAAAACTCACAGAAAAGTTATTAATAAGCGTATCTGCTCAGCTGCAGAATCACAGATCTTTTCAACTCAGTTACAATTTACAACTGTTTACGCTTTACTGAATTCATATATACGATACCATCAGGCACAAATTTATTTACATAGAAATGCCTCCTCTCCTAAAAAATAAACTGGGAGTTTTATGTTGTTTCCAAATTTTCCTTTAAAAGTATGCTTCTGTCTTAGGCAATTCTCAAATGATACATAAAAATCCCAAGCTGACTTAAAAAATAAACTGCCAAATATCAACTATGTCAGCATGTTCCTTTTTATGACGCATTTAGTACATTACCTCAAAATATTTTTCTTAAATGTGGTTATCAAAAAACTTTATCTAACCTCAGTTAGATAGCTGCTACTTATACAACACACAAATATTACGCAGTCTTCTTATAAAGAGTATCCTGTACCCTACAATATTCTATGCAAAAATATACAGGTAGAGTTAATACTCCCTGAAGCTACTCAAGAGCAAGCCACTCGTATTTTAATTCAAATTGTTTTTTTAAAAAAATACTTCGTACACAGAATTGAGTCAAATGTTTCTCTTGTCAACCAGATTTTGTTTCAGCATCCTGATACTTAAGAACCTACATTATATCTGTACAACTACATGCTACATTTACTGTATGTTTCCATATCTATATTGGAATACACATGGATACTTCTACAGAAGTAAATAGAAGGCTTCTCCATCAGCATCAACAGAAATCAGATTAAATCTTCCATATTGCTTTTTTAATGTTAAAAATAAAACAAGCAGCAGTGAAAAATAAGGTGCACCCTAAAACTAAAATTGCAAGCCTAATACGTAACACCTCACTAAAGAATAACAAATTAAGCTGCAGCAGCTTGCCAAATTTGCGTATGTGCGACCATATCAGAAGATTTATAGCTTATTCCAACCTTTCCAGGAAACATTAGGTACTGTTTTCTTATTTGGATCTTGGTCTTCTAAAGGTGTCCTGTCCACCTGAATACCCGAGTCCTCCCTGCTCAAAGGCTGAGTATCTTCCTCCTCTTCGCTTTCTCCAGACCAATCCTATAAAGTACAACAAAACCCAGCAAGTTGCAGTGAAACATAACACACAGATCCACACTCGCTTCCTATTGACCTAAGGATGCAAACATAAACACTTTTCTTCTTTCTGCCATGATAAAGTAAATTCAGGACACTAAGACTAACAAAACTCTCTGCCATAGTCTGGTTTAAGTTATACATAAAATTAATAACCTGACAAATGAGACAACCGGACAATCAGAGAAGATCACATAAGTACAAGACATTCTCATTAGGAGCACGCAGGGGTCAGCAGAAGGAACCAGTTTAGTTGCAGGACTAAGTCAAAACATAGGGAAGAACAGAAGCATTTATATTCCTGTTACTGTACTTGGGTCTGGGTGTATTTCTTTAAGTCAAAACATAGGGAAGAACAAAAGCATTTATATTACTGTTACTGTACTTGGGTCTGGGTGTATTTCTTGGCATTACCTAAGAAGTAATCTACCATGCAATCCTGTGAGAATCACACAGAGCATACACATCAGGTCTCCAGCATGCTTCAAAACAGTTTATACAGTTGGACTTTTCTAGCTTAAGAAATTACTTACTGGTGTATCTATGCCTGGGCCAAAGTAAATTTCTTCTCCTTCCATCAAATACTTTCCCCAATCAAATTCTTCTTCCTTTTCTAAGAGAAGCATGAACATAGAAGTAATAAGTATAACTCTGACTTGCTCTTCCTCTAAAAACACTTCCAAAGTTAAAATTACGTTGTTACTCTAAATCTAAAACAAAAGACATTCCATTTATCATTACACACTTGCAGGCACGTAAATTTTGAGGTATCAGCCATGTATATTTCTTAATTCTCAATTTGGTTGTTTCTACACTCCATATATGACAACATGGTGTGCCATCAGCACATTGCTATGTTGCACCACCCTAAACTTCAACTCTCAAAAACATGCAAGAATGCAACATATCACTTATTTGTGACTAGTCCCATTCAGCTCGCTGGAAACATTGGAAATGTATAATTTTCATACGCACAAGGACCCTGGACTGCAAACAACATAAAACAAGAACTATCTTACTCTCCGAGAAAGACACCACACATCCATGACGTGATGTGCAATACTTTAAAAATAACAATCACACTTACAATATATTATATCTTAAACATGAAGCTTACTCAACTGTAATTAGTGTTGTTTGAGATAACCTCTTCATATTCACATTCCTGGAATGGGCTGAAAGTGCATTCAAAACACCGCCGAGGGAATGTGCAGAGATCATTCAAAAAGGAATCTTAAGATGCAAGATTTGCTTTAGGTTAGTCTGAAATACTCTTCTTTCAGCCTATGATACAACACTGCAAACAAATGGGGGATGGCATCCACTCAAACTTAAGCAAAAGCCTCATTTTTAGGCACTGAGTGAAGCAGTCCTACTTGAAAAAGCAGGCAGCTGGGATCTCCCTCTGAAAACCTTCAAAGCATCTCCCTTTCCTTGGCTTCACACAGAACCAGAATTTACATCACCAAAGTTGTTTCAACAGACCTCCTATTGAGGTGCAAGACAAAGATTGAGGACAGAAACCCACTGTCTGTCTTTTAAGCACTGCTGAACAGGTGGAGTACGTCAGTAAGAGATAGTGGTATGACTCAAAGAGAGTTCCCAAGGTACTTTGGTGGCTGGAAAACTTAATTCAGTGAGGTAATATAAGCAGGGGTAGGAAAGATTTGCAGGCTAATTTAAATGCACAAATCATAAAAAGACAATTAATAAAGCACCTGGAAGTGATGGAGATGATAAAATGGAGAGGAAAAATGTCCTTCTTATTAGATTGCGTTAATGGACTGTATCTTTTAATAGCAACATAAACACCTTGTAAACTTACCCACTTCTTTGTCTCTTGGTTTTTCCACATAGGTGGTGTTGGATGGAGAATCAGACAAACACAACAGAAGAGACAGTATGGAATAGTGTGTATCTGTCTTTAAAACATATTAAAAAAAGTAATTTAATAAGCAGTCTAACAGATTTTGGTTAGGAAGAAACTCAGCCTATTATGTGCAGGAACATTCCACATTAGTTCTCATCCCCCAGTCCCGAACTACAAAAAATAACATCTGCAACACGATATTGAATGTTACGAATTCTCTTTTGCCCCTTAATTAGCTGATCAATACACAAACACTTCAAAAGTAGCCCCAGCATAAGATGGTTCTTACTAAGGTCATAATCTGAGAACACACAAAAATAGGTAAGAGGAACTCTAAAGTACTACGAAAGTAAGAAGTCACCAGAGGACAAGGGATAATGGACAGATACATTAACGTAGATGAGCTGTAAGGACACAAGTAACGGGCCTGCAGGTAACTAAGTCTTAGCTCCCTTACTCATAAGGCTGATTATTTCAAACAGAGGCTAAACCCAAGTTAGCTAAAATTGCTACGTTTTAAGATCATGTTCACGTTCTCATCCCTCATCTGAAAATCTGCACCAAGCATTAAGGGTGCAACTCCAATACTGCACTGACATAACTGTGAAACAGATTAGTTAGATTAGAATTAGGTGCCAACATCAATACACTGCAGAAATCTGTGTTACCATCTACTCCCTAATAGCTGCTTGAAGCACAACCTTTACTTACTAGGAAAAGACTTTCTTTCAAAGTTCATCAGTAGACCATTTAATACCCAGACATATTGAGATTCTGCTATCTACATCCTATATACTTTAACATATGTACATCTACACTTACTAAGTTGTTTGGGAATGACATCCACTTAAAGTATCTCAAATATCTGGTAAAGCAGCATCATACTCACCTACTATAAATGGAATAAGTATGTTTCTACTGAACATTACTGACTCTACAAGGGTTTGTCAAAGAACACTAGCAGGTTGTTGACAGAATCATGCATATGAGCTAGTTTCACTCACCAGTCATAAAACTGATAAATACTCAGTCCTCACAGTTATGTGATACTGCTAAAACCTACATGCAGTTTAACTTCACAAATATGAGATATTATCCATCTCCAGCTACATTTTCAGTTGCATATTCAAAAGGAAAAAAGGCTCTTTCAAGCCTTAGGACACTTGCAACATTCACGTAGCAAGTGCTTGCTTAGGCTTTTGTTTTGGTTTATTTTTAATTTTATTTGACTTTCAAAACAAGCACAACTGGAGGTACATTTTCAAAAATCTACAGAGTACAGTATACTAACTGAAAATATATTTAAGCTGTTGAGGGTTCGGGCTTTTCCCCACAAATCAGAGGAAATCTACAACAGTGCAAAGAAAGGTAAATGTCAGTTCAATGAGAAGTAAAATCAAACTACAACTCGGAACACACAGACCTACTAAAGAACATCATTACACGGAGCACCACCTCTTAAATCACAAACTTTCAGTTTTCAAAGATCAAATTCATTATTAAACTACCACAATGAAAAGTGCCTAAGCAAGACACCTTCTGCCATATCCATCTAGTCCATATCCTAAATTGATTTCACACAGCCTATCAAAAGGTGAAACATACACAAGAAGGAAGCTACAGGGCAGGAGGACTCCATTTGGAAATACTAAAGTAATGCATCTAGACATTTTGATTTAAGGTAAAATAATGGGACAAAGAATAAGAACTGGTTTGTTTTAGAACAGACAGGAATATACATTCACTGAGGTTCTAGATATAACATTTGTAGAATGTTGCCCACAAAACATGTAATGAGTTGTCCTTTAAGCCACAAAACTGCATGTGCTGAAACCCTGACAGGATAAAATTAATGGGAAACTAAAGAATACAACCCTGAAAATCTGTGACCTGAACAGCAACTGCAAACCCCATTGCTAAGTCAGCTGAAATTTTCAACACCACTTTACAACTGAAGTCCCCACTGTCAGTATAAACAGAAAAGAACAAGGAAATTGCACCATACATACCTTTGTTTCTTCAACACTTGGAAGAGGTGAGTTCAGAAATTTTTCTGTTAGTCTTTTCCAGCTTGCAGCTTTTCCAAGGTCAGAATGAACTATCAATTTTTCATGTATTCTAATAACAAAAATAGTATCAAAAATGCTTCCAAAAATTAACTAATCCATTATTAATCCATAAGCATAAAACTTACCCTTCTATCGTCCTCTCTACTTTGTGACTGTTCACATCAAGAAAACGGTGGAATCTGTGCAAGAAATCTGTATTAGAATATGTTTAAAGATGAAGGACAAAAATACAGATGATTTGCATATATGAGGACAACATTATTAGTTTAACAATGCATGCTTAATTCAGCAGCAACAGCATTAAACATCAACAAAATTTAGTCTCAGCATGTCTTAGCTCAGAAAGGATTAAATACAGTTTACCTTACAGATAGAAAAAAGGAGTGCAGGATGCATTTAACCAGCACTTTAAGACGAATGGAAAATTACTGCTATACCAGCAAACTAAGCAATTAAAATACACTGTCAGTTAAGACAAATGGAGTGAGGAGATCAAGAACTGTATTGTCAAAGCCATCTATGTCAAATGCACAAAAATTATCTGGGACTTGCATCACAAACACAAAGACCCACATGGGAAGGCCTCTAAACTCAAATGAAGCTCCTTTATAAATAGTAAAGGAGAGTACCTAAAAGAAAAGAGACCTTAAAGTAAAGGAAGATATACCACCAAAGGGAGCATATATAGTGACAAAACAAGAACTCATGAAGTTAAGATGGACTTTGCAGAAGAAATCAGAATATCATAGACTGGCCTAGGCTAGAAGGGACCTTAGAGATCATTTAATTCAACTTCCCTGTCATGGGCAGGGACGCCTCTCAACTAGATCAGGCAACACAAGGGGACCGAATGGGGATTGGACCCACGACCTTGGTGTTATCAGCAACCAACTGAGCTAAAGCCAGCCCCCTAAGATTCTTCAATTATATATAGAGAAAAGACAGAATATAACAGCAGTAAGAACAAGGTCAAGACCCTCAGAGTCAATGTAATGTTTTGCCTCAGCTTCCAGTGACAACTGCACAGAAGAGAGAGGTAAAACTCTCGTGACCACAGGCGGAAATTAAAACTACTGGAGCAAAAGTTCAGCTAAACAGACCGAATTTGGAAAGACAATCTAAAATCACCTCAGTGTCAAAGCAATGAAATAAGAAATGAAACTGTAAGGCAGGTAGCATGGATTTTTAATAAGTGTCATTGGAGGATGAAAATATTCCCAATATTAAAGAAAAGAAAAATCACTTTGTTAAGTACAGACCCATTTGTCTGATTATAGCTGTGTGTAAGGCTTTGGAATAGAAGCACAATAAAACGTAACATTAACTGGGTAGCTGACATTTAGGGTGAGAAAATATAGCTTATCTCATTTACTACAGCTCATTAGATTACACAGGAAATCATTAGTTCAAATGGAAAATGGTGGTAAGTACAGGAACTGAAAGATTTAGAACAACAGACCAGAAAGACACAATATCAAACCCAAGAATCCGCACTGAAAAGAAAAACTAAGCTGAAGTGATTAGCAAAATTCCTTTAGTCTGTTACTTACAGCTTTAATTAACAACTCTAAAACACTTGTGCAAAAAGAGTATTGATTTTTTTAAGCAAGTTAGGAATATCTTGAATATAAGACTACTGTTCTGCATGGAAAGAAACAGGTGATTATGAGAACTACAGCGTAGAAACACCATCAAATCTAACAATACAAACCACAAGTTTCACAAACTTGAAACTAAAGAGAATTTCTGCTACCACTTAAGATTGCACCGTTTGGAAAGATGATATTCGTCAATCTCATGCTGATGTTCCACACCTATCTCTGAAACAATAATTCTGGCATAAAACCTTTCCTCTTCCCAACCCCCTTTCTGTCAAAACAGTTTGTTGTCAGCTCTGTGTCACCTCCCCTGTTTTCCTGCCATGCTGTTTTTCAAAGAAAACCCAACCTAACAATTCCCCAAGCTAAAAGAGCACACAGCTACACAAGCAACTGGGTCACTGAAAGAAGGAGAGATCACAGAATCACAAAATTTTTAAGGCTGGAGAAGAACTCTGAGATCATTAAGTCCAGCCTGTGACCCAACACCACCACATCAGCCAGACCAGATGACACAAGTAGACAGAAGATGAGGAACGTTTACCTGCCTCAAAAAACCCTGCTACCCTTACCAACCTGCAAATTCACAGTGACTGCTACAAGCAACTATTTGGATGCAGCAACAAAACCAATAAACGCAATCCTGTGAGGCATTACACGAAATATTTATGATAAACATAAAGAACGTGGGGAGACAGCAGTTGCAAATACCGTACTACAACATTCACCAAGGAACACGAGTAGCCCCCGCAAAAGTCTGCAGAGATGAACTCAACAAAAAACCGGCCACAGGTCACATTTAGCTCTCCCATACCTCAGACTCACTTTTGCCGTTTAATGATGCCTATTTGGTTACTAAGAGTCTCATTTAAGCACATCAGGGTTCACACCCTGACTTGACGCAGTGCAGTTACCTTACAGCACGCCCCACAGAAATGGATTTAAACCGTAAAAAAACAAACAAACAAACCAACAAATGCAAGTGGCATTCATTTTAAATGGACTGTGTACGTGCTGCGCCGAGTTAAGCAACTAGGTACGAGTGGGAAGAGGCAGCAGTTGGGGATAGGGCGGGAAACTGGGCACACACAAGTCAAAACTGGCCGCCGCCCCCCAGCTCGGAGCAGGGGGCTCCG